TGAGGTGGGGATTGTAATTTTCCAGAAAAAGATAGAGCGTGTAGCTTATATTTTTTACCTTTTTTTATATTGTAGTATGCTCGTGTATAAGCATATGTTGGGGCATTCTTCCCATAATGAGTTCTTCATAACATGAATAAAATTTTTTGACTCTTTGAATCGTTGTTTGCTTTTATGCTTCAATTTATATGTTACATCTTTTATTTTATTATTGTAAACTCTAAATGAACCTTCGAGCAAGTTCCTTGAGCTTAAATTTAGAGTTTTGTGAGTTGATTCATGCGTTGAATATATGAGAACCTATTGCATTTTTAACTAGTACCTTCTTTCACTGCGCCATATAAATAAGAAAGAGAAAAATAAGGATCTTGCTATGTCAGTTGTGGTTCTATGGGTAGTCAATATTCTTTTTAATAATGTTTGTTTAAGAAACCATAATCATCATAAATTATTATTTTTCTATAAGAAAATAACATTGCATGAGGTATATACTAGCCTCTGTTTGAGGGTTGATTATTACTTAGCTATACACATAATCTTTTTTTATTTTTAATAATTTATTTAAAGCTAAGTCCGTCAACTAAATATTTCTTAAAAAAGTATATTATATTTTTGCTACGTGTACACACTATAAAATGAGTCAGTTTAGGTTATCTCAGCAATTAGCTCTCTTTTTTATGTTTGCTCGCAGTGCTTTTATTATATTCGTGTCCAGCTAGTGTTGGCTTGAAATAATTAAAAAATTAAAAATAATATTTATTTATATCATCTTAATATTAAGTTTTAAAATGTACTGTATGTGTGTGTGTGTATATACATATATATATATACACACACACACACATACATACATACATACATACATATAATAAACTAGATATAATATGCGTGACAGCTCATCTGCAGTTCAAAAGAACACGCCTTGATTATCCATCAAGGTTGAAGTTCGCTGCTTCTTTTTGCTCGCAATTCAAGTTGGAGCTGATTTGGAACGCTTGCTCGCACTCAACTTCAGAGGTATGTATTTGTTGGGTGATCTAGTCAGTTTTCAAACTGATTCCTTAGTGCACTTTGAGTTCAAGGATATTTTCATGTATGTTCCCAGCTACTCACAGGCATCATGTTTGGGATTAGATTAGATCTCTTTGAACAATGATGGTTTCTACTCTTTTAGGGAATTTCACGGCTACGTGATAGGTGGAAGCCACCACTTTAAATGTATTGATCACTGAACGTCCAAATATGGCAATGAATTCTACCGTGGATGTATATTGATTTTCCCCTTCTCCTCAAATTACCGATAGAGCGATGACTTCACAAGTTTCTTTTCTCTTGCCAGAAAATCCTTACAAAGGTCCCGAAGTAGGAGCCAATTAAGCATTTGTTATGTTCATCTTCTCAAAAGCTTTTCTGATGTCGACTAAAATACTCCCACTTTGGTGATTAATGTTTACTGCGGTTAAGACAATAACATCCTTGAAAGGATTTCTACAATCAAGTAAGTCAGCTCCCATGAATGTGATGGGTAGATGAGTTGGAATAGTGGCTTTAGCCATGTTGGTGGAATGAACGTCTCCTACTTTCAGTTACTTCAAACTTAAACATTATGATGCTTCAAGTCCATCCCCATAAAAAAATGGCGGGTATTACTTTGACGAAATGCATAATCATGGTAGGGATTGGTTTTCCAGAAGTAGTCTTGATAGGAGCCTTTCTTTTCCTCTGAGTGCTAACTTTTGAAAAAATAAATTCTCTTAATTTTTCTGCTCAAATTACCTCTTCAACTAGGTTTTGAAGATGACAACATTCCTAAGTGTCATGCTCATGATGATAATGATAATCACAATACTTATTGAGATTGTGTTGAATACTCCTGACTTTAATTGATAGAAGTTTCCTAAATAATTCTTTATTTTGGATGCCTCTACGATCTTGGTCATTGCAACTCATAAAGGAGTGATTTCTAGTATAGATGGATAAAACATATCATATCCTCTCTCCATCTTCCTTACGAGAATCCTTCAATTAAATTGGTCATGTTTCTAGTGTTTTCGAGGATGTCTTCTCGGGGTGTGTCGATGGTCTATTCATACGAATTAGTGCCAGAACACCCGATGTTTGCAAAAATCACATCTTTAAGAATATATTCTCTGGTTCTCTAATGTTAGAGGGATTTAATAAAGAGTTGTATTTTTGGATGAAACATAGTTGTTGGCTAGTTTTAAGAGTTCAAACAAAGTTTTTAGGGTTTTCAAGACAATAGCATATCAGAATGAGCCTTCACGTAGACCCCATGCTAGTGTTGCATGAGCGATGGAAGGCTCAAGATCTCAACATCGAGTATTTTTCGTTGAAATCTAGTGATGAAGCTCCTCAAATGTTCGAATGGAGCTCGTCAGTTCTTCAGTAAAGCTTGAAAGTTTTTTTTTTGTGTGTGGCTTTTGAGCTCTAGCAAATTGGACCACGATCATTCACTTGAACTTACTAAAGAAGATGATGACTCCTACCGACAAGTTGTTGAACCAGTGTAAAGCCGGTTCCTTGAGCATTGTAAAGAATAAATAACACTTATGGGAGTCATTTATTTGTAGTATGCAAATAGTCAATTCAAAAGAGGCTACATGATCAATGAGATAGATCCTCCCAAAGGAGATTTTGAACTTCATGGGGATTTTGCTTTAGCAATTTCTCTTGAGAATGCATTCTCTAGTAATATTCTCCTTCTTTTACTCATCCTCTCTTCATTATTTAAAGATTCCAGAGTCTATTCTCCAAGGACATACAGTTCATCATCGTCTTCTTCTTTCTTATATAGTGTCAAAGCCAAGGCTTTTCTTGCTCTGGTTTAGCGAAGTTCTTCTCTTGGTGGTCAGGGGTTTTGCGACATTCTTCTTTGCACCACCGATCATGATGATTCAGTATGACTTCTCGAATGGCTCCTGGAATAGGTTCTTGACACTTCTTGCTTTACTTCTTTTTTATCTTTTTATGAATTTCTTCTCTGAGCTCATTCATTTGCTACGCCACAAACTCTCTAGTACAATCCATCATTGTTCTTTGTTCTCCTTTGATTAAAAGGTTTCCTTGTTGGATTTGGGTATGAGATCCATGCTAACCACACCTTTTATGTTGTTGAATCCCTTTAGGATGTATGATCCTGTATTATCCTTTAATCCATACAATCTAGGAGAGCCTTTGTGAAAGAGGTTGAAGTGGAAATAAGCTGAAGGGTTTTTAGAGAGATAGAGAGAGTTCGAGAGAACTAGAGTTGGGCCCCCATTTCTTCTCTGCTTTTACTTCATTTTTATACAACACAGAACCTATATGCCCTCACATGAGTCTAAGGAATAAAATAAAATTCTAAAATATAGGATGTTGAATATGAAGCATAAGTAGACTTGTCATTGACAAAATCCTTGATGTGGGTGTCAGGCGACCAATAAATGGTTTCATACTTGATGATGAACATGATCCTTCCACCTCAAAGAGTTGTTCACCGAGCTCAGTGATGCAACCATGTAGTTTTTGGTGATTTTGCTAAGATGATTCAACTAGTACAAATGAGCTTAAAAGAAGAACTCAAGAAATGTGAGCATGCTCGGTTGCAGAAGCTCGTTTGAAGGCTTAAACTCAGCGAGCCCGATTGGAGGAACTTGCTTGATGCTAACGAGCTTCGGGGGGGTACTTGTGGGGTCCTTCCGAGTGGCAAGAACTCTGTAGCTTGTCACCTCCAAAAGTACGACTAATAATTACAATTGACCTGGTCAGAATTAGACCATTGAGTGCATGGTCGTTGGGCTTGATGCATTAGTCCCATGATGCCCATTTCGTATTTGGGTTTTTCTGTTGCTTAAAGAAACTCATTTTTGGATATTTATAACCACTTTGACTATGCTATGAAAATGTGTATTTCCTTTTAAAAAGTTAAAATAGTGGTATTTTCGATATGATATGAAAGGTTTGTGTGCCATAATTGTAAAAAATCAAACTTTATGTGTTAGATGTGTAAAGACATAAGCATTGGCTTGTCCTACTAGGCCCATGATGCCCATTCACAACCAGACCATTGAGTGCATGGAAGTTGGGCTCAATTCATTAGACCCATGATGACTATTTAATATTTGGGATTTCCTGTTGTTTAAAAAAACTCACTTTTGGTTATATAGCCACCTTACCTATCCATGAAAGATGCATTTCATTTTTAAGAATAAAAATAGTGGTATTTTTTATATGATATGAATGATTTGGGTGATAAAAATATAAAATAATCAAAGGAGGTGTTATGAAGAAGATAGGTAAATCCATAAAAATTTACTGGTTTGTATGTAAATGCCCTAAAAATTTACTATAGCCAATACATGCTCTATGAATATTGGACAGGAGGTGTCATGAAGAAGATGTGACAATGTGCTCCTATGATTGAAATGTTGCAAAAATGTGCAATGAGAGATTGAACTTCTAGTTATAGTAAGCAATCAAAACAATTCAAATATTTTTCTTCAAAACATAACAACCAAACATATTTCTTCTTCATTTTGGGCATTCTAAGACTATTTTTTTTTTGTATGTTCCAATATATTATCAATTCCCACAGTCAAATGGTGTCATATAAAACCAAATAAACTTTCAATTAGATTCAAGCATAATAATAAAAATCGCTTGCTTGAAATTTAATATCATAGAATAAATAAAAAATACAAAATTTTAAGTTTAAGCAACAATAACGCAAATCACCATAAATCCCTCAGAGAATATTATCAAGTTGAATAGAAGTCTTTTTTTTTTGGTGCTGATCTGCATCATAGACGTACATGCTGTTGCACACACATAATATTTTTTATATCGAGTTTGTTATAACTAATTAATAGGGTACAAATGAAGCTCATTTGCTAAATCGAGCTAAAAAAATGGATTCATGCTCCTCTTTTTTGAGCTTGCCCAATATTTATGAGAGAGTCGAGTTTCATACAGCTCAATATATTAGGCTCGTCTTGAGTGAGCTCGAATTCAAGCCAACCATAATCCACGGCCAACTCGATAGCCGAAGGTGGTGGCTGCATACTTCCCGAAGCGAAGAAGGCTGTCGACTGACTGTCGGCATTTCTCCTCTCTGCTTCCTCTCCAATGGCGATCTCGAAGAATCCCAAAAACAAGCAACAGAAGCCGAGATCTCCTCTGCTCCTTCTGTTGGTGGCAACGTTGGCCATTGGCCTTGTTTGGTTTCTCTTCTCTTCCTCGGTTTCCGTTTTTCGCTTCTCGTTTACTTTGGGGAGTGCAGCAGGCGAAATTGAAGGATCAAGTGGCCTTGAAAGCAAGTACTTGTACTGGGGCGACAGGATAGACTGCCCTGGTAAGCATTGCGAATCTTGTGAGGGGCTCGGGCACCAGGAGTCCAGCCTCAGATGCGCGCTCGAGGAAGCCCTCTTTCTCAAGAGGTAAAGTTATTTTTATTTTTGGTCATTGTTGAGAAAATATGATATTTTTCTTTGCCTTTGATGGGATGTTGTTGTTGCTGCTCTGCACTGCTTTGTTTAGTAAACTGGTTTCTGTGAACGACTTGAATCCATTAGGCTGTTGATGGAGTTATATATAAGAGAAAGAACATCACAGATCCTTAGGATCAGCCCTTTACCGCAAAATATTCTATTCTATCTCATATCTATAAGGAATGGAAGAAGGTAACAAAGACAACACTAGTTACGCTGAGGTTCCTGTATATTTTTCTTGGCACCTTCCTCAAGTTAGCATAAACGATAATCATGCCTATAATGTGAAGTAAGTTCAAAAGCTGCGGTAGACCCAATGAATTTATGAAGACTTCTGCAGGTTACTTTGTTGTTGATATGTGAAAATTCTTAAATATTCTTGGCTTCAGTTATATCAGTTTTAATCCCTTGTATTTTCTTAACTTTAAATTATGCTGTAGTTGATAACTTATTAGTTGCTGCAGATTTGTTAAATCTTTTCAATGGTTGAATAGCCTTGTCTTTTCTTTCAGGGTGTTTGTGATGCCTTCTAGAATGTGCATTAACCCAATACATAATAAGAAAGGGATCCTCCATCATTTGACCAATGTATCATCACAGGAAAGGTATGGCTGCTGCGTTTGTTATAAATTTCCATAGAAATCGGTTTTGGATTAATGCATTGTTCAAACTTCTAGGAAGGTAAAATTAGTGGGAGTTGAAGCCGTAAAAATGATTTATTTATTATATTTTCTATCAAAAAACTTAAATTATGGAGAATTTTTTTAAATAGATCAATGTCTATGCGAGTTGAAACCCCTAAAATGATTTATTTATGTAATGCTCTATCAAAAACTTAAATGATGGAGAACCTTTTTAAATAGATCAATGCCTAGCCCCTTAAACAATGATATTATAGTATAATTCTTCTCTATTTTGATTGATTTGATAGTTGGGGGTTACTAATGTGGATGTCATATTGGAGATGCAAATACCATCAATAAAGAGTGAAAAGCATAAATGTGATATATGCTATGGCACCCAATGGAGGTTGAATTGGGTAAAAATAATCTCTCTTTTTTAAATTCACAACTCTTGGTTTTTAATATTATAGAAAACTTAAATTATAAAGTCTTCATTACTTTTAATTAAAATAAATAAAAGTAACCAAACAGATAAAATAGTGTAGAAAGAAAACACATGAGACAAGATATTTTTGTGGTTCAGCCAAACCCAAAACCGGCCTACGTCTATGCCGAGTCACCCTTGACTAGGAATTCCACTAATTCGATGGAAATTACAACCAATCTCTTGTACTCTCCTACACCTGTAAACATTATGTTCTCCAATATTGGGCGAACAACCTCAAATACCAAGCTTTGCAACACCGGGCAAACTTTATCCCAAATACAATGAGATAGTAAAATAATTTAAAAAAAAGTACAATCAACTAATCTCGCTCACTCTTAATTTTAAAAAGATTTTCATTTATCCTTAGCTAAAATTAATTACCAAGACAAATACAATAAGAGCTCAAGTTGATATGTAAAGTTTATGTGGGTGCTTATATGAAATGCATAATAAAATAAACACACAACTATTGAAACATAAATGTAATATTTCCTATACAAGATTTCAAGAGCTTGCACTTTTAAATTTGATTATACAATCATGCAAAATTCTCAATTAGGATTTGACTCACTTGGTAAGTTATCAAGAAGAAACTCTTAATTCACTTACTATATTATGTTGCAAACTCTCCAAATACCAAGGTAAGAATGAATAAATAATTGAAAAATAAAGATTTGATGTGAGATTAGGGAACCAACACTTTAAAGAAGTTTCTCTTAGCAATGTCCAAAAAGCAAGAAAAAATAAAATCAGATTCTTGCACACAAAAGAAGCTTGAAACCTTTCTCCAATCAAAGAAGTTTTGTTTGATGAGGACTTGGGATTTTTGGCCAAAGGTAGAAGACAAGAAAGATGCACACAAAAGAAGCTTCAAACTTTTCTCCAACCAAGTAAGTTTTGCTTGAGGATGACTTGGGATTTTTGGCCAAAGGTAGAAGGCAAGAAATATGCACTCAAGAAGATAAAACAAGAGCACTCTACCTTCCTTTAAAAATTTGGCCAAGACAAAGAATTTTGGAGGGAGATGAGTAAGTGAATAATTTGAAATGATTCAAGAAAATGTAAATTTTGGCCAAGCTTATTTGGTAGATGATTTGAATCTATTTTAGAGCTTTAATGTGGCTTGAAATTTGTTCAAAGATAGCTTCATGGGAGGGATACACACTAGGAAATAAAACAAACAAAATTAAATACAAAGTTTTGACCATATCTTGCAGGGGTGTTTGGCCAAGCCTAATTTTGACTCCAATATGCTTGATTTCGAGGGATTAAGCCATGAGAATGAAGTAGAATAAAATTAGGAAAGTTTCTAAGAGAATTTGTGCACTTAAGACATGATTTGGTTAGCCTGAACATGGTGAAATTCAGATCCTACATTGGTGCAGAATTTGGACAGATTTTACTAGATTTGGTCAAGAAAAGAATAAAAATAAAATAGAAAAAAGTCTAAATAAATTTTCAAATATTTAATACACATTGATAAGTATTTAGACCAACATAATATGAAAAAAATCAGCCAAAATAAAGTAGGAAAAAATTTGTGAAATCAGATCCAACCTAGACTCTAAATTTGGACAGAGTTTGCAAGATTTGGTTCAAGAAAAGTAAAAATAAAATATGAAAAAATCTAAATAAATTTTCAACTATTTAATATACTTAGATACGTATTTAGACCAACATATTATGCAAACATTTCGGCTTTGTTATAGAAAAACATATAAAACCATGCAATTATCTCACAATTTCTCAAAGTTTTAATTAGAACACAAGTTTGACTAATAAACACATGTTTGAGTGAAACTTAATAAAAATCCTGTAGGAATTCATTTTATAATTTTTTTATTTATTTAAATTATTTTCCATAATTTATTTAGTGAAAAGCATTCATTGCATAAAATAGGTAAAATATTGTTTTCAAATTATTCAGGAGAGAGAAAATGATACCCTATACTATTTTTAGAGTTAAGCATACTATTGAATAATTATTCAAGTATCATTTTATAAATAATATTAATGTGTTACATTTAAAAAATGAGTTAAAAATATGATCGTGGTATAAAGATATAAACTTTTTATCATGGAATAATTATTTTTGGATTAGTTAGAAGAGATAAAATGTTTTTCTTATATCATATTTTCAGATTAAAGTATAACATTGAAAAGTTATTCAACCCATTATTTTATAAATGATGTTAGTGTCTTACATACCAAAAATGAGATAAAAATATGATAGTGGTGTGAAGATATATATTTTTTATGTAAAATAATTATTTTAATGTATTTATAGAGGAAATACTTATTTAAGATTAATATTAAAAATTAGTTTATCAAGATATGCAATAAATGAGTGATTCAAGCTAAATGAGTGATTTAATGTAAGTGATATGAGTGTGTTAAAGATATTGAACTCGTTTTTGTCTTATTATTTGTATATCCTACTCATTCCCTAAGCACTTCTCCAAACTATCCAATTCAGATGATTTTGACTCCACAAACTTGACTGAGCTTCCTAGGTCTTAAATATTTCCCATAACATTTAGATAAAACACAGTAGTATCATCCAACGTTTATTTGTTATCATCAAAACACATTTGGAGTATGATTGAGCTCATATAGTCAATAAAATGCTGCACTAAATAGTGGTGTGAAGATATATATTTTTTATGTAAAATAATTATTTTAATGTATTTATAGAGGAAATACTTATTTAAGATTAATATTAAAAATTAATTAAATATCACTAATTTATGGCTTTGATCATAATCTACATTTTTCAAGCAAAAGACATAGATCTAAGTAATGTTGCACCTCTACTTTTTTTAATATAAGTCGAATCTAAAATATCTACACTCCTAATTAGATCATTAGATAGTTGATTTTTATTGTTGTCAAACCATCTAAGACAACTTATTAATATTGTTTTCCACTTAAGCTACATTAACCCTTTCACAGATATATTTGTTCCACATTTTGTCGTTAAGTGTAAAACCACTCATCCACCTAAGTATTCTCATCTCAACAACACTTAGTTTTATGCTTTTCTTGTATGTTTCTCTTTTATAGGCCAATATTTTGCGCCATAAAGCATTGCAAGTCTCGCCACCATCTGTTGACCTCATTTTTGGTGAGGTCTCTTCTTCTTCTTAGAGCATTGGGTCTAGATTTAAGACTTCCTGTGGGACTCTCTTAGAGGACTAGTCAGGGACTCGCATCAGCTAGAAAATCGAGCCACTTCTTGTCTCGTTGCAGTTTTTTATGGATGATTCTAAATCCTCAATATTTAGTTGAGTCGATCAAAACCAACGTAACGAAACTCAAGTCGAGTACCCATATGATCTAAAGCCTTGGGAAACCTATTGTGACTTCCACGTGCTCTCACGATGCGCGAATATCACAATTCACGCACTTGATGCACATTAATATTGAAATTCACATCATTTGCACTTGTAGAAGGCTTCACGATTGATCAACCTCGAATCAATTGCTGGAAGGATCGATCAGGAGCGAGAATTTTGTAAAAAATTGAATTTGATGCTTTTTCGGCGAGACCGTCGACAAACTTGTCCGGATGACCCCGAACGACAAAATTGACTGCGCTAGCACGTCCAGAGCATCGTTTTTAGTTAGGAGGCACTCCCATTTCAATATATTTCCGTGCACGAGTGGGAAGCGCAAGCGCGCAAACTGAGGGGTTTTAAGTATTAAGTATATAAAAAGAAAATAATAAAATGAAATTCCTTTCATAACCCCCCCTCTAGCCTTTCGGCTCACGAAGAGCTCACCCGCGCGCGCCTCTTTGACCAATCTTCCTTTTCCAACCGCAGGTGAAGCCCTAGTAGCGCGATTTGTCTCAAATCTTCTCTTCTCCTTCTCCATCGTTGACCTCTTAATCCTCACCCGACACTCTGCCCGAGACCCTTCTCCCCGAGGCTGCCTCGTCTCCTAGTGTTTGGCCGATTGCCGATTCGGGTTAGCGTTGACGCCATGAGTCTCTCTCTCGAAATATTGGGTTGGCATTTCTCCCTTCTTCCTAAAGCTTTCTTCTCTGCCTCCCCTGTCACCCTTGCTGTGATTTTCTGTCCCTCTCTTCGTGCTTGACTCACCCCCCGGGTAAGTTACGGTGAGCTTCTCCCCTCTCTTCTGTGCCTATAAAATCCCATGGGAGGTGTGTTATGTGAGGTTACGAAAATTTGGAGCTTGGGGGAGACTGCCGAAATTTCTTCTCGGTTAGGCGCTTGTGGACTTGCTGTTTGAGGGTTCCTTGGCTTTCTTTTGTTGTTTGCAAGAGCTCAAGCAAGGTACTTTCCCCTCTTTTCTGCTCTTCTTCTCTGCTCAACATAGGTTGGACACACTCCACGGGATAAAAGATAAAAAAAGGCTCGAGCATGTTTCTTCTTTACTGAAAAAAAGGGAAATACATACATATAGTCTTGTTTGCCTTGACTGGTATTTCATGTTGAAATTGTTATCAGTTATGGATGTTTTGATTTTTAGC